TACAATATATTTCAGATTTAATTTCTTAATGAAGGATTACACTTAGCCTTACAATTGATATACCCTGCTAGTAATCATTAGTATTAGCAATCAACAAGGATTTTTCAGATTATTTGGTCAGCTTGCACATTACTATTGACATTTTTAGACTCAAGTTTCAATTGGTGTAATAGTATTAATCTTCCAATCTTTCAGCTTAAAATTTTTTGAGGATAGAATAAAAACTTTCTAATTTACTATGCATACTAGCTTTACTATTAAGTATTCCTGATTATTTTCTTTGCTTTTTTCAATTGGACTTTTTTAAATAGTAGGAGCTAGGACCTACTTGATATACAATTAGAAGTAGATAGCTTTGATTTTCAAAAAGTTAATCGAGCTTTTATAATCTTTACCATGATCAGATATACTCTTTCTTATATTCAAAAATGTGTTAGTGACATGTCCTATATACACCTATGCCAGGCAGTATGACTTATAATGGATCCCAGGTTCTTATGGAGCTGAAAAATATATTTAAACATGTGGAGTAACCAATAGGAATTTGTTTATATTCTTTTACTAATGTGATTCTACTGGACCAATTAGTTTACAAGAAACTTTATGCTACTTAAAATTCACGGTCAAGCTGAAGTAGGCAATATTCTCCAGAAAAAATCAAGAAAGAGTACTATTAGAGTTTATACAATGAAGAAAAGAGTGGAAAATTAATTCTCTAATCATAGAAATAACTCTGTAGTATTTTTATATAAGCCAAATAGATAGCAAAGTATCAGTTCTTTTTTCTTTAAGAACTTTTTTGCCATTGATAGGAAAAGTGTTTTCCAGACTTTTGGTCATAGAAGTTTAGTTTTTGTTAGAATAAAAATATAGATAATATAAGAAGGAAGTGTGTGTGACTCTTAAAATATTTTTTAAGTTAGTTTAAGGAAAGTAATAAGACTTTATTAATTAAGAAGTACAGTGATCTCTTGCAACTATTTTTTTTGTGTGATCAGAGGATCAGTGGAAAGAGTTGATTGGATTTTTAATTTAAATTAATTTATTGATTAGATTATTATTTATAAAAATTTTTTTAATATTTGAAAAAATATTAATTTGTATTATTTTAATTAAAAATTTTATGAAATATAATAGAAATTAAATTTTTAGAAATAAATTATAAATTAATTTTTTTTTATAAAGAAATATTATATAAAATATATTTTGAATTTTTTTATATTTATTTTATTTTATTTTTTTTTAAAGTCTTCTGTCAGGTTTGATATATGTATTTTATTAAACAATTTGTATACTTTATATTAAAAATGAGTTATCAAAGTTAAATCTTTATCTAACTCACTCATTATTATTTTGAAATTTATCAAAACTCTAAATACAACTTTAGGAGTGATTTATTACTTTATTAGTAATTCAAATAAAAACCCTTTCAACTACTAAGTTCATTGCTTATAGATTACTACTGCAAAATTTTTTATATTATTGTCAATAAGTTATATATATATTAAAGTTTAATATTAAATTAATATTTTTTTATTTATAATATTGTTTTTTTTTTAAAAAATAATCATTTAAAAATAATTTTTTAAAAAAAATTAATAATTAATTAAAAAATGTTTTTGTAATTATTTTAAACAATAATTTTACAATTATTTATAATAGATTAATAACTTATAATAAATTTAAATTTTTATATAATTCAATAAAAATTTAATTTTATTATTTTAATATAATAATTTTTTAATAATAATAATTATTATTATTTTTAATCCACAATAATATTACAATGACTTGTCTTTATTGAGAAATTAAAATAAAACTATAATAGTTTATAAACTTTTACAAAGTATAATTTCAAACAACTACTTTTTCCATAGATTTCTAACTATCACTTCCAAAGAAGTGTTTCTCCAAAACTTTATATTTTGAGAATAATAAAACTTTAAAACTTTCCTTAAAAATACCTGCTTCATTTAGCAGTAGTCATACTCTACCCTTCTTGTTTATCTTTTCTCTTTACAAATCTCCTACCTAAGAAGTTAATGGCAAGAAAGCTTTTTTAGGAAGAAGAAATCAAACAAAAAAGTTCAAAAATAAAAACAATTTCTTTTAAAAGAAATTTACTTGATTGGAATAGTCTTCTTGCTTTACCTGAATCTTGAAAGAAATTATCTTTTTTATTATTCATAGTATTGAATAAGTCAATTTAACTATTTTTTTTATTTAAGTAAATATTAAATTGTAATATCTCAAGAAAATATTTAAATTTCAACTTTTTTTCATTAAAACTTTATTATTATTTAAGAAACTTAAGTAAGAGATAGGAGTTTGCAATTTACATTACCTATTACTTAATTTTTTGATGTTATAGAAGTCTTTATTAAAGAACTTGAGTTTTTGAAAACAATTGTTTTTAAAATATTTTTTTTATTTATCAATAATTTCATTAAAATATATGAGTGTAATCAATAAAAGTTTGTTTATATTTCAGAAATTAATATTTTTTATATTAGTCAATTACTTTTGATAAAAATTTGTATTATTAGATCAAATTGAAATAGGCAAAATTCCTTAAAAAACTATGAAAGTAAAAGTTCCAAGAGGGTCAAAACAGTTTAAAAGAGAAAAAATAAGTCTTTAACTACAATAAAATCTCTATAAACTTTTTATTTCAAAGGTTAAAAAGACTTTAAAGTACTTTATAGTCAGTTTTTCTTTTTTGAGAAACTTTCTTGTTATTAATATTAAATGTGTTACTTGATTTTTCTTGACTATTAGAAGTCAAGTTTTTGAGTAAAGAGATTTGTAAACAATAGAAATAGGATAGAAATGAATCTTGAAGTTAGACTTTAAGTTGTTTTAAGGAAAGTGTTAAAACTTTATTAACAAAAAAGTGAAAAAACTTCTTGCAATCATCTTTTTTTATGTATGATCAAAGGATTAACAGAAAGAGTTAGTATCAAATTTTTAATAATTATATCTAGTTAAATAAATTTTATTAGTATATACTTTTAATATTTGAATATTTAAATTTTTTAATATTTTTTTTTTGTTTTATAATAATAAAAATATTTTTAGCTTGAAAAAGAAATAGCAAGAATGAATTCTTATTAATTATAATATTTTTTAATAATTTTTGAAAAAACATATTTTTCACTATTTTTAAAAAATTGAAGTTTAATATAATCTAGAGATTACTCAATTCTATTGTCTAATTAAAATACAATAAGAAAAATATTTTGACCACAAATCTTACCTAATTAGAATCTTAAAAGAAGAAAAATATTAGCTTGAATAAATAAAAACTTTTTTTATTCTAGAGACTTATATTGCTTAGTCCTATTAATTTCTTGAAATCCAATTGTAGCAAATTGAATCCTATCTAAAGGGGTGAAAAATAAGGAACCAAAAATATTTTTCTATTACCAATGATATTGTTAAGACTTGTAATGTAATCTGTAGGAACTTTATAAATTTAATTTATTATATGAAATAGCATCAAATATGCAAAATGGTAAAAAATGGTGTAATTGACTTTGATTTGGATTCCAATGGTGATAGGATCCGAAAAAAAAAGAATGCATGTGAAGTTATCAGAATTGTAAAATAAGCATACGTCCGAAATTGTCTCGACTGTATATTATGGTCTGAAGTTAGTGCTTTCTCTCCTATAAAACACTCGAGTATTATATTTATCAAAAGATAATTATTTATTTGTGCAGGTTAACTATAGTGTTTGTTTATTTTAAAGTGATAATATTTTGTACAGTTTATTTATTTCATTTTATTTTTTTTGCATAAATGGATGAACCATTATCTTAAAAATTCTTTACAGTAATATGATAAATAAATAAACCATTTATCAAGACAGTCGAGAGTTCTTAATTCTTTTTATATATCGAGGATGCTAATCCTCTTCCTGACTAACCACCGTGTAATGTTGATATGAAAATGATATTATCTCCATCTTTAATTTCGTATTCCAACTCCCCTTCTAATTCCCAATCGGCTTCATTAATTAAAACTAAAATTCCCGGTCGTCTAATTACAAGGAAAACAATGAGTTAAAGCATACATTAGAATATAGAAATAATGGGGGGTTATTGAGGAAAGAATTCCTATAGGTATTTCAAAGTAGGGGAGAAATGTTAAGTACAATTAAAGATTTATAACTTGCATCGTTTCACCGCTAACAAACAATTCCGGTCTTTCTTGAAGTAAATTTTCCTTTATCCACTTAACCTTGAGTACATATTTTTTTTTTTTCAGAAAGTCGACAATCAATAATTGTGATAAAAAATTTCGCCGTTCGTGATCATGGTGAATTGAATTGGAAAAGAAACATGTTAGTAAAATCTATCCCGAGAGTTCCCAAGATAATCAATAATACGTGTTAATGCACTTGAAGTAAACATTTACAAACCAAATCTTTCATATTAGTCGGTGTCGGCGGATTAATCGATGAAGGTATCTCTATAGTTTTCTGCTTGATACTGTTAAATAATAACTCCACTCCTCCACTTTTTTGTATTTCCAAAGGGAAAAATTAACTATCGAAAGGTGCAGAAGATTATTAGACACAAATTTTTACCTGAATGTTAAATTAACCTTTATCAAAGACGACATTTTCTTAATGGCTAATTCCGTTCTTAAGAAAGCGTATGCATTATATCTGATTTGTGATATTTCATGTGACCATGTTTCGCTTGTGTATTGAAAAAGGGATAGTAACAATGGAACTTAATTTCTACTAGAATTTCAAGTTGAAGCTAAAAATGCAAATTTTAATTTGATTTTTTTGAAAATCGGAACAATTAATTTAAGATCATACTTAAATTATTAAATAATTTTTGTCCTTTAAGAAATTAATACAGTATCTATATGTGATATACGGTATTTTTCGAGCACCATAGCGGTTGGTGTAACATCCCCGGATTTATCATATGCTACGGAGTGCGTGAGTATGTAATCAACAATTTTTTACCTCGGATTACAATATCATGGCTACGTTTGCCACCAACAAGGAACTCAATGTGAGCACCGGCCGAGATGTGCATTTGAGCGTGAGTAGCTTTTCGGCTGTCTCGGCTGTTGAAGATCGCGATATCGCACCTGCAACCGCAACGACGGAAATTTTTGGCTGTTTCCAATCCTTGAAGGTAGGCAACCGTATTGGCACTAAATTTTTCCTCGTAATTTCAATAATTCTCAAAACCATTATTCGCAGACCCTTTTACACCCTAACCTCTGCGAGTACGTGGAAATTGTGAAGGGAAAGCATGGTATTCATCGGGTTTAAAAGATAACAGAAACGGGGTTCCGTATTCTATAGATAGTTGTTAATCGAATATTTCAATCTGACATGGTTAGATCGATTGTTTGTTGTATTCGAATATTTCGACTATCACACGTATCGCGTCGGCAAATTATATAAACGCGGCGAAGATGGTAGTTTGCAAGTATCGAGGTAAGAGATAGATAAAAAAAAAAAAGTGTTGAAACAATTATATAGGAAACCAAACACGTGAATATATCATTAATGGTAGCAGTAATATATTCATATAAGAGCTACGTCTTGATTGCCGGTAGTGGTTTTAAATTTAACGTATGAGTAAGAATTCGTGGTGCTTTATCTTTTGGTCAATTCGACGACTTGGGATGGCTAAAGAAATTGCGTTCTCTTTTTTTTCTTTCCTTCTTTTTTTTCTAAAAAAAAAAGTGTCGGAATATCCATAATACGTGAATGGGCGTTCCAGATTCTTAAGGCGCTCGCATACCTGAATGAAAATGACATCACTCATCACAATTTGGCCCCAAGCAACATTCATATTGATTCCGAGGTAATTTTCTAACTTCTTTAGGTTGTGAGACTCGATCATTTTATGATTTCAAACGTGTTATAATATATATTGGTACTCAGGGGAAACTAAAACTATCAGATTACGGGTTGTATCACATGTCAAAGGGTGGCGCTAATGTAGATTTTCCAATAGGGTAAAGTAGATTATCAATTTTGGTGATCGATTGATCATGATCCTGATGAAATTCAACTTAACTTTTGTGATAGCTACCCACATTATCTCCCACCCGAGGCAATCTATCGTTCAACTGACAAGCTTGAAGCGACTGGAAAGGTATTAGTAACGATTTTTTTTTCTTTTCGATCACAGAATTTGCTAAGACCCTTTCACTATTAACATGATTGCAGGTTGACGTGTGGTCACTGGGTATAATATTAGCCGAGATTCACACCGGATCACCATTTTGGAAAGGAAATGACAAAGACATTGATAAGATTTTTTCCGCATTACGGCAGCTTCAATCTTTCGCAGAAATGGAGGAGGTTGAAGTTTGGGATCACTTTTACATATTTGAGCTGGGTATAAGTGACGCAATACTGGAATTTCTCCAAGGGACGGACGATGAATTTCGAAAATTTGTTCGATCTTGCCTGGAGGTTAATGTGTCTGCCAGATGTTCACCCGAGCAGCTGTTATCCCATCCATTTTTATCGCCGATATACGAACGCGGGCTCAGTAAACAGCACAAATACTGGTGGATCAAGCCTTTTTTGCAGTCTCAAATATTAGACATTGACGAAATTGATGATGATTATTCACTGGAACCCCAAGAGGAACCTCACAACAAAGATGTGCTTGAAGGAATTCCGTTATCTCAAATCTACTACTTTTGGAAACTGGCAGGTGGGGATGTGGAATCTGAATTGGCTAAAAGAGGGTACCTCCTGAGCACACCACCGATCGAGAGAATACCGAGAACAGTAAAAGTGCTAGATGGTAAAGAGGAGGGCACGACAAATGACACCGCCTTTTTATACTCGGATACCAACTACAACCTATCCCTGGAGGAACTTCGGCAGAGACTGGAAATGGCCACCGGTCCAAACAAGGAAACATTTGTGGATACAGAATATTTTCTTGCTGGCGACGAGGATGACATGAACTTTTTGGCTGACGAGATGTCCGATGAGGATAATTCTAATTCGGATGCATTACCCGAGAAATATCTGTTCCCCGATCTTAACAATAAAACAAACTCGACGACAAATGGGACAAACCATTCACCCAATAATGTGAAATTACCATTACTCATACGAGAAAAAGATGTTGGATATCAATTCCAGAGAGTCGCACTGTTTTCCGAGTTGCTCAGGCAATATCCGAGTTCACGTGACGAAATTATTCATCACGCCAAAGTTGACATACCACCCTTTTTGCGCGGGAAAATTTGGGCAGCTATCCTCGGGATCAGCGGTGATTATCAGGCTGTCTACGACTCCTATGATAAGGAGAGTGAAAAGGAAACGGACCGTCAGGTTAGTCATTTGTTTGTCCCTTTCAAATTAACAAAGTGAAATTTCAATTAACCTTTATGATCCATTGTTCCTCAGATCGATGTCGGTAATATACAGAGATCTGATATATATTTTCTCAAGGATAAGGTGTTGTCTTTATGTGAAAATTAATAGATGTTGTCAAATATAGATGTTCCAAGGTGTCATCAGTATCATCAACTACTCTCATCCCCGATTGGCCATGAAAAGTTGAGGAGAGTTTTGAAATGTTTTGTGGCTGCAAACGATAAGTTTGTCTACTGGCAAGGTAGTGATCGTGTGACTAGTAACTCGTTCAATGCTATACGTAGTGTGCACACCGCCACTTATTATTTATTCGACTTCTGGGTTAATATATGATGATTATAGGGTTGGATTCACTCTGTGCGCCTTTTCTGACTCTCAATTTCAATGACGAGGCATTGGCTTTCAGTTGCCTACACACATTTATCCCAAAATTCCTAGGAAATTTTTTTATACACGACAACTCCCCGGTCATTGAGGAGTATCTCGCCGTGTTTCGACATCTTTTGTCGTTTCACGATCCGGAATTGTCCAGCCATCTCAATAAGATTGGCTATTATCCAAATCTATATGCCATCCCATGGATTATGACATTGTTTACTCGTAAGGATCATCCTTGTGATTTAAATCATTTCCTTCATCTGAGCATGACATTTTGAAGATAATCAACGGGCTTTATAATGTAGATGTATTCCCGTTGGATAAGACGTACCATCTTTGGGATAAGATTCTTGTGGGTCCACCCTCTTTGCCATTATTTGCCGGCATCTCAATATTGAGGCAGCTACGAGATTCACTCATAAATTCCGAATTTAACGATTGCATCATGATTTTCTCCGAGTCTTTTCCGGACGTCGATATTGAGAAGTGCATTCAATCAGCTCTATCGATGTTTAAAGTCACACCGCCTTCCGTTTACTATCGTGTACACGAACCGCGCGCAGCATCGGATAAACCATCAAATTATGAGAATCAAGTATTGTTCAAGTCCATCTTTTTTCTGTTTCACGTATGGTTCTCTGTTTCCAATCTAATCCTATTTAGAATCATACGGCTCAACGTTGGTGGGAACAACCCACGCCCATCGAAACGAAAAAGATTGAATTGGCTCCGAGAATATCACTCAAAGACTTGGTCAAGTTGAAAAACCATGTATTGGTGATTGACACGAGGAGTGAGCAAGAGTGAATATCATTTCTATCACTATCAAAGTAAGATTTCAGGGCTTGAAAACCACTAAATGATCTACGCTCCATGTAGGTTTGCGAGAGGTCATTTTCCATTATCGGTGAACATGAATTCGGCGCACCTGGAACAATTTTCACCGACATTATTACAAGAGAAAAAAAAATATCATGTAGTAGTCGGTAAGCGAGGAGATTCTGGACCTCAGGTAAGCGACTGTGTTTTTTTTTTTTTCAGCGAATTCCAATTTGTGTGTGCTAATCCATTTGTTTTTTCATTTTCAAGTTTGCCGCTGATCTGGTTAACGCGAATTTTCCTCGTGTGGCTGTTTTGACGGGAGGAATTGATGTCATGAGGGTGGAAGAAGGGGTGGTCGTTTGTGCGTGTCGCCCGACCAAAGTTCTGGTCACAAAGAATAAAGATGGTCCAATTACGTATTGGAAATGTCGACCAAATTTGATGAAAGAAAGGTAATATTGCTAATAGACTTATGGGTAATCAAAGTGCGTAACTTAGGGAAGGATAACGCAAATGTCGACGAATCATCCTTGTCGATTGATAGAATATTTGCGTTTTTGGAATAGGATTGGTTTCGTGGCAATCATTTTTGGTTAAATAGAGACAATACATGTCAACACTATTTATTGTTATTTAATCGATTTTCTCGTTTAAGTTATTAAAAATTAATTCGATTAAGGGAGGGAGTTGCTCTTCAAACTTTCTGAATACTTGAAAGGTTTCTTATGACGTGTCAAATAAAATACGATCATCCAAGAAAAGCAAGTCACACCGACGGCAAAATGCTTCATCTGAGTGAGCATGATCCCATGTAGGGGTGGCAGCCAAGGCCTGACAACAAGGTCGTGTGAGGAAAAATCGAATTAAAATGTTTTTTCTAAGAACAATCCTGGACTTTATCCTCTCATCCTTAGAAAAAAAAAATGAAAAGAAAAGAATACTGTATCTAGCTTTCAGTTGAGTCAGACATCTCGGGGAAATTTGCCTTTTTAACGTTATATACTGTATGTCGATTGTTTTTTTTCGCGACGTGAAACGGATGCGCGCAATGAGTTAATAGAATGCATCGTAACATTTCATTGTTTTCTTCAACCCTCGAAATTTTATTCTTGATATTGTTCAAATGAGGATTGCACCTTTACAACGAAACTTTGACAAATAATTTTTATGGACCAATCAACACCTCGATCACATCTTTACGCCCAAGTTGATGTGAACAGTCTTGATCTGGGTGTACTCGTTTAATGCATACTTCCCGAGATCCCTGCCAACCCCAGATTCTTTATATCCTCCGAACGGGCTACACAAATATGAAAAAAAAAAAAAGTTTTGTGAATTAATGACCAACTTTAATTGGGGCGAATGGCAACTTATGAATGTATGCAACACCTACGTGTTAGAATCGAACAAATTATAGCAATTGACTATAAAAAAAACAGGCGCGATTCGATTAATAATTGGACAATCGTTAGAATCAATACCCTTCTTCCACAGGTCGCTTACCCCAAACGGTACCGGCCTTCAATTCGTTGGAAATTCTAAACGCACGAGTGATGTCGTTGGTAAACACGGCAGCGGCCAAACCGTATTTTGTCAGATTCGCTTTCTCGACAACTTCCTCGATCGAACTGAATTTTGCGATTGCTACCACCGGGCCGAAAATTTCTTCCTGCATTATGGTCATTTTCTCGTTCTATTTTTTGCGCGAATCAATTGTCGGTCAACGATAAACGTCGGTAATAAACAAAAAAATGGAATGAATCATCGAAAGAAACCAATTACCACATCGGTGAAAATGGTGGGTTTTATGAAGTAACCCTGATTGCCGTGTCTTTCACCCCCGGTTAAACACTTGGCACCTTCTTTCTTGCCAGTTTCAATATATGACATTATTCTTAACAGATGAAGAATTTTGCTATTAAATATCCGCACGAGAATATGATGCCACTAACACTCTTAAAAATCACGTCAACACATCCTTACTTATCGAATTGCTGCTTGGAAATTTGTGGTCCTTGGTAAGTGTCGTCATCAAATGGATCTCCAATCTTAATTTTCTCGGTGTGCTCCTTAAATTTCTTGAGAAATTCATCGTACGCCTTATCTTCCACGTAGACCCTTGAGCCAGCACAACAACATTGACCGTGGTTATAGAAGATGCCCATGTGAGCCCACTTCACGGCCTGGTCAAGATCAGAATCAGCGAATATGATGTTTGGAGATTTTCCGCCCAATTCAAGAGACACTTTTTTCATGTTGCTTTCAGCCGATGCCTTTAAAATGAGTCTTCCCGTGGCCGTGGAACCTTATGGATATAAAAGATCAGTTTGACAAAGGCACGGCTATAATTGGTCATGATGTTTGAGATTAATACCGGTGAAAGTAATCTTATCGACTTTCATATGACGCGCTATATTTGGAACAAACGAGCGTTAACAATCTCTCGGTCTATTGTGTCCACACGGGAAATGACGATCACCTACAGATAGCGATTCCGGTAGGATCACCGAATCCATTCACAACATTGACAACGCCCTTGGGGAATCCAGCTTCTTTAAATAAAGCAGAGGCTTTCAGAGCTGTCAAAGGCGTAAACTCGGACGATTTGAATACGACCGTGTTGCCTGCAGTACAATATGGGAATGAAGATGATATATTATTCATCGGTTGATGAGCAAAGGCATAGAATGTAGCGTGATGATCTCACCGCATGCCAAGGCCGGAGCTAGTTTCCACGCCTGCGTGATTAGCGGAAAATTCCAAGGAATTATGACACCACAAACGCCGACAGGTTCGCGACGGATGTAAGCGAATTCATCATGCATCGTGTCAACGGTCTTTCACGCATAAATAAAATTTCCTTGAGGTCAAATTCGGGAATCGAACCAGTTCACGCGTCTCCCCGTGAGATTAGGATATTTAACACAAACCTTTCCATGAATCTTATCACTCCAACCGGCATAATACCTATAGCACGAAATCGCAGATATAATGTCATTCTTCTTGCATTCTTGATAAACTTTCCCGCTATTCAACGCCTCCAACGCTGCCAAGTCATCCAGATCGCGTTCCATCAGATCCGCCAATTTATTGATCAACCGACCGCGTTCACTTGGACTGACGCATCGCCACTCCTTGAAAGCCTCGACGGCTGCTTCAACTGCTATGTCAACGTCCCTCTCTGATGCTTCGGCTACGGTGGTGATAACTTTGCCACTGGCAGGGTTGATGGTTTCGAAAAATTTGTTGTCGACGGAATTCACGAACTCGTTGTTAATGAACAAGCCGGTGGGAACTGACGAATTAAGTTCAATGGTTAATTACAGTTACGTGATAGATGGTTCGTTATTATTATTATTCTCATTATTATTCTACCTTTAATTTTTTTTCCGGTCGGAAGAGTGATATCTGCCTCTTGAGAGCTCATAATGTAAAAGGATAAAATTTAGTTGAAAAGGTCGTCTTTTCTCATTTAATCGATTTCTTTGTGACTTTTAAACGACTCCAAACGATCATTCATTTTATTCCCACGACAAATAATCAATCATTCACCTACCAAACTGACGAATGACGACGAAAAGATCCTACGTAAGCAGGGTGAAACCGAAACTTGAAAATTCCAAGGGTAACGCGACGGTGAATGTGCTGCGATAATGACATTGCGCCGCACATCATTCATAATTTACTGTATACGGATATTTATTAGAGTTCATCCCTCCTAACTGTGCAATCACCGCTCAATTTTTTGACTATGACGTTACAGCACAAAAATGATGATTGTTAAAGGAATTTTTCATAAATAAATACTGTAAATACAGTATATATATATATATAGTATATGTAGTTACGTACTTTTCACTGAAAAATTTTTTTACGATTCTTTACCTAATAAAAGTTCATATAAACCTTTCTATTATGCGACATTGGTATATGCACAACATGAGGCTCCTGATCAAAAATTATACAAAAAAATCGTATTTGTTGTTGGTGAGAAATATTGTATATGGATAATAATTTTTTGAAAACGACAAAAATGTTATAAACCGATTTTTTGGTACAATTATAAAGTCAGAAAAATCCCTTGTCCGCCTTCGAAATAATAATTAATCACCGATTATGCATACAATACGGAAATGAGATCATCCGTCATCTTTAACCTGTTTGCACAGTCGAGTCGCTAAACAAATATAGTCATTAAAAAAAATGGTGGCTAATGAATGACGTCTCTTAAAAGAAAAAAAAAATATATATTTTTTTTCGATCTTGAATTCAATCAAGTCAAGTGAAAATGACGGTCGAAATAAGACTTAGATACATTATTGCCGGCGTTTTGGGAATTCCACTAATTATCCTGGTATTTCTTTGTCCTGCTCTAGGTAAAATGTCGCCTTTCACTCGTCGATTGATTGGTCTGGTAAACAACTGATCAAATATGACCTTGTGTAAACAGAAATTTCAAGATTTCATTATTTTAGTCAAACTTCTGAAGAATTCCCTGGAAAATCGTCGCTTTCAAATGTTATTATCGAATATTGGTAAGTCCCAAGGCTTTTTTTTTTTTTTTTTTTTTGTTGTTGTTGGAGGAATTAACGTTAATCTATCCCCACCCTCGTTTTGACCTTTGGGACTAAATCGACCAGTTACCTGGTGGTCTCTATCTCAATACCATGTAAGTCGAAATCTTTAGAAATCGAATTGCGCAAAGAAGAAGCGCACTCATCCCGCATGTCGATATAGGCAGTTTGCTCCTGTCGGCAATATGCAACCGTTGTAAACCGAAAGCTTTGGCGGAAACAATGAAAGAGGAGTTGTTGTAATGATCTTTGCCCTTTTGAATTTTGAAACGTTGGTTATTTCTTCTTTGTCGACGAAAACTTTCACTCACACATCCTGCACTTCAACCTAGCCCCGTGCTTTTCATCTGGGTAATAGTCGCCGGTAGGTTTCACGATATCGAAAACATTCGCACCAAATTCTACCATCATCCTTTCTCCCATTCATCATTCTAATGATTCTTCAGTGGTCTATACATTTATAACCGCCGACGAGATGCACGGAATCCCCGCCTATTGTCCGTCACCGGACACATATTTATATAAGAGACCCTATTACTATACGACATGTAAAGTTCGCTTGGCAAACTTGATTTGCATGTGGTTGTTTGTGCTTTTTGGCGGGTTGTGGGTAGCGGGCGCGTGTTTGGGAATCCTACCGAAAGATACTGATCTAAAACGATTAACCAGACGATTTGACGAAGACCACCAAAGTCTCCTTTGGTGATTCGGACTGCTCGTTCTCGCGATTTATGAAAATATTTTGCATAATGTGGGACATTCGTTTCGTGATCAAGTTTAGTTAGCTGCATTACATTCTCAGATTCTTTGCCTGATGTGGTTTAATCCTTTGGTTTCTTTCATTTTGATCTTTCAAATAATAACCCTGTCTGGTCTGATGAAAGATGTTGTTGACATAAAAAACATTTCCGACGACACCAGAATTCCTTACACCAATATACATATATTCATTTATTCATTTACATTGTTCTCATCGCCTCACATTTATTAGTTCGTTGAAGAATTTTCTAATGGATTGGGGGACAAGAGAAACGGGACAAGATTAAAAGTCCCATCAGTTGTACGCTTCGACAAATTTGAATATTTCTAGAATTTAATTGACGCAAATTCGCCTGGCCTTCCTTTGACGAACTTGCGTTATTGTAAAATTCTTTTTTAGTTTATTCGGAGATAGCTCCTCCGTACATACTGTAAATCATCTGGTCACCATATCTCAAGCGAACGTTAGCATTTAAACATGAAATCGTCACAAGTATCCTCGCGCCATCAAATCAGGAACGGTATGAATCTCTTTCTTGCCCTTGAATATTCATCCCACTCTTTTCCAAAGTGGTCCCTTAATGTCATCTCTTCCTTGTAAACTCTACTCGCAAGCAAGGTCATTCCGAGTATAAATGAGGCGTATCTAACGGTATTATTGCACAAGATGTATGTGATAAATGATGGGGCATACATTGGAACGAATGGTTCAAGTTGGTGGAGGATGTAAAGTAGATACGGAGCCCATAAGAGAAAGCCTGTATACTGTAAGGGAATATCAATTAAGAAAATTCGACCCATGCAATGATCATTAAACGGCAAAACCTTGCCTACCGAGGGGTGAATCAAATACTTGTAAGGACCCGTTGTGACCAATTTATGATCTTTCTTGATGGTAACTTCAAACGTGAAAAATTTGTTGAGAGTCTGGAAACTCCACAACCTCAACAAGGATCCGAGAATCGATAAAAGTGAAATCAATGTATATGCGGTCGTCCATTCCGACAACCTCGAATGGGTAACCTTAGCATTGAGGTTATCATCACGACTCGCGCTTTCGATATTCGAGTAATTTAAATTTCCATAATCTTGCTGATACATGACGAAAACATAAAACCCAACCAAACAAGATGTCACCCCGATGAATAAACGTCTAAATAAGTGAACAATCAATAATCCACTTATGCCCTCAGATCTGTATATCTGAGACGGTGTGGCTTCTATTGGATTGGGGGGTAAAGAAATTTTCAGGAAGCAGTAGTATTGAAATAGTATTGCAAACAATTTAGTGATCATTGTTCGGCAATTTTACAAATTACGTCAATCACCGTTCATATTTATATTTATACATTTTTTGTTAATAGATCGCGGGAGTCTTTTGTTGTCATGTTGTCGGAAATGATGTAACGCAGAGCTTGGAAATGAATCTTTTTTTACTTGTGTCTAAAATTTTCTCATTTAAAAGAACCATTGTCCCAATTGATAGTTAGAATTTATTTTTAGACCGATCAAGTTAATTTACAAAAGGCATATTTCTCAAAGACATGAATCTCCTGACCGCCAAAGTGGATGGATGGATGATTAAATAATTGTATAATGAATTTTTAAGAAACAAAAATTCTATTTTTTTTTTTTTTTTTTTTTTTTTTTTTTTGCAAATTTAATTAAATCTACTTTGTAGTATATATTGTATTTAAAAGTTTTAAAGTCGACTATTAAATCACTTTAGTAATAATATTTATAAAAAAAAAATAATAATAATTGAGCTTATATACGCTATTTATACTATATAGTACTGTATATCTATAATAGTAATTCCATATCATTTTATTTTTATTAAATTGATTTTTTTTTAAAAACTTGTAGTCTAAAATGATGGTATCAACCAATCCACTTTATTTATTCGCCTTTAAAAGTTTTGATGGAAATAAGTTAAAAGTTAAAGAATAGGTAAAAAGTAGAGAAATCATATAACATTAAGAAATGATCGCAAGTTATGATAAAACAATTGTCGGCCTTTATGCAAGACAAAATAAAATATACTTTTTAAAAAGGCAAGAATAAGGTGTACACATTTAATATAAAATATTCCAAAAGCGAAAACTTAATTATTTTATAAGGATATTTTGTTTTAGAAAGAAAGTTCAATTTTAGTGTCATGTGAAATTGAGATTATCGTTATCTGCGAATTTTCGTCAAGACTTATTCCGTTGAAGATTTGCGATGGAAACCAAAATCCTAAGTTCATATCAACTTCCCAGGCCAACTGGAAAGCTATTGATCATATGTGTCGTATCGAGTGATTGGGTGGCGGTGAAAGTGCTTTCGAATCGAGTTCACGTGTTTTTCAAGGAGACCCTTAAAGAGATTTGGAATTTCTCGGAGGATCCAGTTGAAATTTTGCGAGATGGATTATACATGTCTTTGGATGCACAGATAGATTCATCAGCTAGTTTTCTCGTTTTAACCTCCGATGGATCTATATGGCGTATACAATCATCGGTGCAGAAGAAAAGGAGGTAGGTATTTGTGCGAGGTTTTCATTTCGATCATTGCTAGGTATTCCAATGCGGTTTCTGCAAATTTACAGGAGCCTCGAGGCAGGATTGAATGAAAACATAGATTCGCCTTTACGTCAAGTCAGAAGAGTTAACGAAGTTAGCGGTGAAAATGCTGCATTACAGCCTTTGGCACCAATAACAACACCCAGTAATGATCTTTCCACGGAACTTCATTCGTGTCTTTCACCACCATCAATAGTCACTGTCACTGAATCGCACAAGGTTTTTCATCGGGTATGTAAATTTTTGATTAATTTGTTAAACCATTGACTCTTATTTGCTAAAAATGACTGTTGAATATAGAAAGATATTTGCGAATTACGATCAAGTTACCTTTTCAATACCCATGGCATAGTGATGATGTGCCAGGACGGGGAGATAGGATTCCTCTCTTTAACCAATCAAATTCCCACCAATCAAATAATACGTCACCCTGAAATGTCGACTCGAAGCGACTCTCAAAGTCGCGAAATCACTTGTAGCTTAGTCGATATCCTTTGGCTCAGATGCTTGCATAATTAACCAGACAATAGTGGACAACATTATTTTTGACAGTAATGCTTACTTCGCCCTTATAATCGTAGGAAGACTGGGAACATAGATGATTCAACCTCCAATTCCCCGTCGCCTATATCCAGTGAACTGGCGCTGATCGCTTTCGGGGCCCCAAAGTAATGAAATGTTCACATACTTGTGTTCTTGGGAGTAAAAATTTCTCACTTCCACTATGTCAGTTTGCAACAGGAAATGTTGCTCACAGGGTACTCAAATGGCCTGATATGTTACCAGTCATTGGTTACGAATGCATCATCCCCGGGTGTTGTGACTGCCTTGAAAGTATGCACAGCAATCTCGATCCATCAATGTATTCGTTGATTCAATGTGGTACTCAAATAAATTGCCATCTGCTAGGAACCCATTCAGTCAATATATACTTTATCGCTAAAACGTGAACTAGTCGATGAATCAAGGGTGATTAGGAGGACGCCTGCTACCGAAAAACTTCATAATGCGTTTCTTATCGTGGGGTCGGTCGTCAATGCCTTGGGCTTTCGTCGTCGTTCATTATTACTTTGATTTTAATTGCGCTAGAATTTTCTAGAGCACAATGTACCATAGCTTTAATGGCTGCCGTGAAAGGGTCAAGTGAAGATTCGAACAAAAAGTCTATAGCATATAAGGAATATTATGTTCCTGAACCGATTTATTCGTCATTCCTATTCAGGGTGCGGTTATTTTATTTTTATTTTCCTTTTAACTTGGTTGTGAGAAAACAAAACCAATTTGGGAAGGAATAACGATTCGTTATACAGAACCGATTAACATTGGCTGTCGGATCTGGAAGAATTATCGTCATGAACTTTGACAACATCATGTTTTCAGAAAGTAAGGCGGCATTTTTCTACGCATGATTCTTTTTTTTTTATTAATAAGCTCATGCGTCCGATTTATGATATCAGGCAAATTGATTTCGTTGTATACAATCCCTGTATATTTTCCAATGGGAGTTGTTGGGTTGTGTCACCACTGTAATGAAGACAACGGCATATTTTACGCTTTATCTCGCGAGGGAAAACTTCTTCGCGCAAGCTTTTCGATGACAAGGTATTGATTGATCTTCCGGATCTACGTGTTCTTCACCTGGTGTTCTTATACTTTTTTTTTTTAAAAAAAAAAAAATAGTGAGAATAAACTGAAGCATTTGATGAATAGATCGGAAATGGAGAGTGAAATCAAAGTCAAGTTAAATAAAATTGCGGAATTATCGGCCCTGCAGGATGAAATGGAAAAGACCAACGAGGTATACGTCTAAGAAAAAAATTTTCCAAGAACTATCTGATTTCCTTTTCGCGAGTTAACATTTGTGATATTACATAAAGCTCCTAAATGAGGCCATATCTGCAAGAAATATGATAATCCCAGAGTTTCAGCGCCTCTACAAGAGACGTGATTCTGCGACGGATAATAAGAACCCTCCTTTGAAAGTTGAATGTTTTCCCGTAACCACCTCTACTTCTTTAGCCGGAAGCGTAATGCACCACGCACATTTAAAAATACGATTGACAAGTAAACTGGGAATCAACTGGTCTCAGTATTGGTCGTGTATCCTTTTTAAGATCGTCTCTGTTGGGTAGCGGTGATCTGTGTTTATGCACTTAACTACTTTTAACGATCAAACAGTAATTGTTCGAATGATGAATCTTAATCCGCCGGATCCTCGATCATCTAAAAATTCCAAGGATTCGTTCCCCGTGATGTCTTACTCAGTATCACTGGGAGATATGGCGGTGATCTGGTAAGCCCGATGCTGGTATTTCGTATGAGAGGAAGTTCTCGTTGGATGGATATATTTATGTGAATTTACCTTTGTAGGGAACGAGACATCGAGATAAACTTAAGATTTCTTCAATTTCCCATCTTGATAAAACTTGGCATGTGTTTTTCGCCTCCTACACCAACCGGCGTGTCAAATGAAGGGCACTATCAATGTAAAAGGAAAAAATTAAGTGAACTCAAATCTATTTTCCTTTCAGACAGAATCTTATGTTGCTCCTTGTTTTCATGTGTAGCGAAATCCAGTTATTTCTCATTGGTTAATATTCAATATGATATATTGGATTTCATAAAACCGTGTTCCGTTAATGCCTTGCAGCGTTTGCAAAATGAAAGACATTTTGCCGTCTATCCGGCCATGCCCGAGTTTGTCTCGTCACTAGATGGAGATTTCTTTGCAACCAAGAGTGATTTCAGGAGAACATTGGAATCGATCATTAGCATTCACGGAAGTAATACGATCAGGGAGGTAATTTGTTCTTCGCGAAACGTCAATCAAATCTACTCTCATTAGTCCCATCATTTTTCACCGGCGTTTTTGTCTACAAGGATAAACCAATTTCCGATTTTATATCGTCACTTAATTGTGGTTCCGCTGCAATCAAATTTTTTTTGAGGGCAGGCAGTAATGGCGACTCCAAGCAAACAGATTCGGCGGATATTGGCATCGATAGCGCGTTCGATCGGTGTTTGACAATGATGTTCGGAGAAACTATTGAGATGTATGTCACCCTTGAGATCATTTTTGCCCGAGGAATTTATCTAATTTCAAGCATCTTTCCCTCATAGCTCTAAATTACAGGAAATAGTTATCAAGTCCGACTATGCTGTATTCACCACTCCATTGAGTTTGGAACCCGTGATTATAAATTTCAAAAGATGTATGATTTTTGAATCCTTCCTTTTCCCGCTTTACAACTTCTCACGTTGACATCCAACATTCTTAATAATCCTGCACGCTTTTGAGTAGTAGATGGAAATTGCATAAACAAACCAGTTCCATCAAATTCCATACCAGTAGAACTCAGAATCAAATGCAGCTCAGTCGAGATTTTACTACTCGTGGAGGAAGCCATATTGACGAGACTCGAAGATTTCTCTTTGAAAGATGAGGAGGATGTGATGGAAACCGATGAGCCGGGTAATGTGCAATGAATTCTTTAATATTTACCAGGTCCCATTGATCAGCATCTGAACATTCGAGTCTTCTTTTACTAGCCCGCCCCCTTGTTGACCAAAAAATGAAAGATAAAATTTTCAGCATCCGACATAAACGTGATGATTTGGTGAAATTGCACGAGATTCATGCGGACCCGAATGTTGAAAATCCGGTGGCATGGGAAGACTTGTTAAAGATGGCCGAACAATTGGAAACGGACATTAAGGAGGTGGTTGTCACAGTGAGAAATGGAATGGATGGCATGTGGTTAAATGGAGTCGTCGAATTGTAGGATCGTATCATTATACAGAATGAGTGTGATTAGTGTACACCATTTGGAGCTTGAATATCTTATCTTTGATTAGCATGCACATTTCGCAGGACATTACGCACGAACCTTTTTATCATATCATTGTTATGCATGAACCTTTTTACCATATCATTGCTATGCGCGAACCTTTTTTATCATATTCAAAACACTTGACAGTAGAATTAAGGAGGCAGTTTTTCTAAGAGTTAAGCTCCAAAAGAAATAGTTGGATGCCAAATGAGCATTTATCTATCTACTATCCATATATCTATCTATCTACCTATTCCTTTATGTTCCAATCATCCTAAAGAATGATCTGTTTGTTAACAAAAACCTGTATAACGATTGTTGAATCGTGAGAAAATTACACTTTATTTTGGAATCAAAACTTGATAATTTCATTATCATTCGGTTAACATTTGATGGAACTAGAAACCAATTAAATCAATTGGTTAATACTAATAATAATACAATATACGCACCGTGTAGATATATTATGCTTTTGACATCAGATTACCTAGGGATACTTGCTTCGCCGTGCTTCTTCAAGATACTTTTTTAGAATAGATCCGGCAAACAATTTAATGAACGCAAAGCAAATGCATCTTTGCCACTCGAATGCTTTGCTACTATCACCGTCTATGCCGCCTTTCAATAAAGCACAAAGTGTCCTAGAATCGTGTTGGTTGAATCTTGTCAACAACGTTTCAATCGGATCCACGGATAAATCTCAAAAGTTCTCTCCGCGTAGTTTTATCTTGAATATCCGTTGATCCGAGTGCGGTAATCGAGATTAATCGAGACCATTCACATGTAAGCAAACGCTAGTAGTGGCTTTTGGTCCCAACCTTCTTAGAAATTTCAAAGTTTTCAACACAGTATTGGTGAACTTTTCGTAACTTTAATAATTCGATTATCCATTACGGGGTTAGCACACAGCACTGCATCGCGTAATAAATACGATTACAAGTCATTATTCTGTCAAGTATAACAATACTCTCGAGCGAGTATATTATAAAGCAATTTTGACTTTGAACCTGAGTTAAAAGTGCCGCCCGCATTTGGTTGATAAAATTTTGATATAATAAAACCGAAGCTGTGTTCTACGTACTGTAAGTAGCTATTCAAAGGACGTATGTCCAACATATTTGACTATAGGGATGCACAATTTCTGATGCGCAAAGAAAGATATTTTTCTTTGAAACTTGATGAAAAATACGTTCTATAACAGTCAATCATCATGAAATAGTTTTAGCGTGATATATTCTAATCTTAAATAAATTAAAAAAAAAAAAAAGACAAACCGCATTTACATTCAAAGAATCTATAAACTCTTTTTAGAAAGTCTATTTGATTGTTCTAAAACAGTTATTTAAAACTCTTTTATTCTTACCCGCCAAGAAAAAAATGAATAGATCGTATTCATCTCGCGACATCCGGCCGGTTCTTTCTTAAACATTCCAAAATCACGTGCAACAAATGTTTCTCAAGTACATCGTCATCCATTTTTTCATCGCCTTCTCATTGACAATAGCGGTGGTTGAATCTATACCCGTTGATCAATCTGGCGAAGGGAAACAACGTTATGTCGTGGTCCTTAGGAGTACACCAATCCCAGACTCGCCTTCCACAGCTGCTGAATCTTTGCAGCCGCGGTCCCTGGATGATGTATATAAAGCTCATATATCTTGGATCTCCGAAATACATAGTCCGGTGGGCGTATCAACCGAATCTGTTGGTCTCAATGCTTCCGCGCCTGAGGTGATTGTGCGGGAGTACGCAATTGGCGATAACTACAGGGCTTACGCCGGAATGTTTGATTCAAAATTCGTGGAAGGTGTGTTATCAAAACGTTCCGAGGTTGATCACGTGTCCTTGGATTCTGAGGTTTCGGTCGCGACGAGCAATGATGAATTTTATGGTGCCCACGAGAATTACTATAAGATCGAAAGGGTGTTCGACGGAAGTGATGGTCCGAGTTATGATGAAGAGAGTGAAGATGTTTGTGTTCTAAAGTTTGGGGCGAGAATCCAGTATGAGCCGCCATGGGTCGGTTACACATATTCTATACGTGATCTTCTTCCTTCCTTCGTTCAATATGCATTTCCATCATAGAATCTCGATCGCATCGACCAACGCAATCTCCCTTTGGACGGAAAATACATGTCCTCGGTCTCCGGAGGTCGTAGGGTGAATGTATTTGTCATAGACACGTAAGGACTTCATCGTCTGTTAAAGTGGTTTTCGGGTTCGGCGCTGTAGGAGAGATAGATAAGCATTAAAATTTTTTTTTAGCGGAATAAATATAAACCACCCAGACTTCCAGGGGCGAGCATCATGGGGTGCGACCGTCATTAAGGGTTCACCGGACATTGACGAATATGGGTGAGTTCGGAATTTATTTTTCACGCGCTATTGAACAACACATTGCAAGGCACACGACATTCACCCTTTAAAATTCTAATAGGCATGGTACTCACGTGGCAGGAATAGTAAGTTGTGATGGTTTCCTGTAAAAAAAAAACGATGAGTCTGTAACCACTGATCTCTTCTTACTCACACACGCCAGATTGCAGGTAAATTCTCACAATCGCAAGTGTTCACGTGAAGCGACTACAATACCTTTGAATAAAATTTGTTAGGAAGAAAATATGGGGTCGCTAAGGTGGCTAGAGTTATTGCGGTCAAAGCTTTGGGGAAAACCGGTTCGGGATCTTGGAGTGATGTCATTGCTGGACTGAGTTGGGTTAGCGAGCAACATAAACTCAACATAAGAAAGAGATCCATTGTCAAGCAAGTTTTTCGAAAGCTCTCCTTTACTTTCTCATTCCTGAACAAGGATTAAATAATCTCGTTTTCTAAATTAACCCAGTCTCTCGCTGACCGGCAAATATTTCCCGGCCGCAAATGCAGCCGTAAAGGCGTTAACTGAAATTGGTGTTCACGTGACGGTGGCTGCGGGTAATTATTTTGGTGCTAATTCGTGTTACTTCTCCCCGGCGTCAACACCCGAGGCCATCACCGTAGGGGCTACCAACGTTGATGATGATATCGCAAAATTTTCCAATCGTGGCTTGTGTGTGGATATCTTTGCTCCAGGTAATGATCTTCCATTCATACTTCGTGTGCGCAATGACAATAACCAAATTCAAATGTGTATAAAATGAATTTAAAGGACAAAACGTGACGTCAACGTGGTTAAGGAATGAAGTAAAAATGATGTCGGGTACGAGTATGGCATCACCCCACGTGGCCGGCGTGATTGCATTGATCATAAGTTCCAGGAGCAATATGAATCCCGAGCAAATGAAGGCGGCGATTAAGGATATGTCCACCTTGGGTGCATTAAAAAACTTAAACTATGAATCTCCTAATTCCTTATTACATCTGGATAATTTGTGGTGATGACATAATAATCCGTGCATTTCTAGGTATTTATTGATGTTTTTAAGGTCTATCATTGTGTCTATTTATGTACAGTACTTGCAACTTCGAAAAATATCAACGAGAGGATAGTTAAAAATCATGTTCGACAAGTAAATCAGACATACTTGATTCAATCACTATTCACACTTTAAGATAATTAAGCAATTTGTCATATAATTTAAAATTCAGTGGAAACCCGTTAATTTCAAAATTTTAAATATAATCAAAAATTTAAGGTCTTTCAAATACTGTTGAGATGCAGTATATGATAAGGTTTAATTATGAAAACTAAAAACTGATCATCTTATAAAAGAAATAATATCTTGTTTTATTTAATGTTAAACCAAGAAAGTCTTGATTAATGTCACTAGACTTATTCACTCCTCCGGTAGTGGACAACATGCATCGAATATTTACAATCTTCCGGAAGCATTTTCGTTGTTAACATGAATAATATTATACCCAGCCCTAGGAAACCAAACCACCACTTCAATACCGGTTTTGTCTACATTGTCAGGCCTAATGGCCACATGCGAATTGCCCAAACTAACAATCCTTCCCACCACCGCGACTTTTCCGTAATCATCCGGTTCAATGCTAACTCGATCTCCCACTTTCCTATACAAGTCCATCTTATCCTCCAATTGTGCATCCCTGGCACTCAACGGTTTGTACTTCCTTGCGATCTCTAATGCTTCCTCCTCGGACATGTTAACAGGTGACTTTTCATTTTCCTTAATGTATTTTCTAAACCTATTAAACCATGCGTAGGTCTTGGGATAATTCTGAGCAATAGACAATTCACTCGCACTTCTAGAGATACCTAGGAAAAATAAATTCGCCGCGACATGGATGTCGGGCATCCCCGGGGTCAGAGTATCGAGAAACCATTCACGATCATCTTCCAGTTGCTGCTCGATCCACTCAAGATTGGAGCGGATTCGATCGATAATTTGGGAGCGTTCGGACCGGAGTTTCTGGAGGTTTACTGGTTTGCCAATTAGTGAGGAACGATCGGAGAGAAAGTTGGGAGTGGTGAAGATTTTGGGAGCTGAGGGATCGGTGGAGACGAAGGAAGATTGTAGTGAGGCACCAAAAAAGTATCTCTGTAGGAAGTCGTCATAGTTGCGAAGATTTAATGGCGAGTTATGTAAATAGAATAACGAGAAAACGATAAACGATTTACAGTATACAGACATCGGTCCACATGATCATAGACCTAGAGAGGCCCTTATCACTTTTATCGGATCCTTTCCTTTTGGGAAAAAGTGATGGATTCGGAAACCTGTCGCAAGAAAAATTAGATATGGAAATAACTCGAGTCGAAACTAATTTAAATTAAAAAGTACCTTCTTTCCAGCTCCTCTAAGATCAAAGAAGTGTCGACGAACACGTCGGATCCGCATTGAAGTACGGGAATACGGCGATATCCGTGTGTCAACAGTTGCAATGAACTGGTTAAGCAAAAAAATGTATGTCACACGAGAAATCGATTAATCATTCATATTACGTTTGAAAACTCACGGTCTTGGAAGAGTGGGAGGCACTGTAACTGAATTCCAGGACAATCCTTTGATCGTCAGGGCCCAGACTATCTTCATGGAAAAAGGTGACCCTACATGTGCATATACAATCAAGGACAAAATTTATTAGATGAACCAAGCTTTCTCGAGTAGGTAAAGTGAGGCGTAAAAAAATAACATCTTACCAGTATAGTGATATAAAATAAGTGGAGTTTTATTACGTAAAGAGGCCATGTTCAATGTCAATTAAAAAAAAATAGCGATCTCATGAGTTTCGTTCGCTTATATGTGCGAATAAATTAATTTGATTTAGTAAATAGGGCGATACAATATGACTAATTGCTTAAACTACTCAAATCATTAGATAATTAAAATTACGTACAACAAAATCATATGATAGGCGATCAAGTTAAAACTTGTAATACCATTTATTTAATATTACAGTATAGAATAATAGGTTAATTATTATATTTCGAATCAATTTAAAATCAATTCAACTTTAGCAAATTGTGCATTTTAAGTTTTTATAAACATTCAATTGTTTAAAAAGATTCAAGTTACTTATTTATTAATTTTAATTTATTATTTTTACATATTTAAAAAAATTTTTATTAATTTAAATTTTTTCTTTTTTTTAAAAAATTTTAACCACAACTGGTATTAGATGCAAGCTTTATTAAAAAATTAACTTAATTTTGACGAATAATTAAATCCTACAGCAGTTACATCAATGATCTTCTACAAGCCATATATTTCTATATCTATGCAGCTTAATGATGACCTATTGCGATTTATTCTAGATAGACCTGCAATCACTCTGTGAGTGGGCAGACCTAGCTAGGGGCTGAATAATCAATACACAGTTATAAACAGCTAGTCTAGGTTAATTAGTATTCAACTTTACAAATTTCTATTGTTTCACTAAGCTAGTCTATAGTTAATTGTACCCGATGAGATATAACACCCTCCAATATTCCCTAGATATTATTCGCTCAGACCTCAGAAGGGGGCACTTTCCTTCTTTGTCACCATCTGTGGCATCAGATCAGTTCCTATTGACTGATTTTCAATTAAATGGAGCACCAGATTGGAATATCCTGAGCTAGGAGAGTGGGGGTCCTGGAGGCTGCCAGATCAGAGTGGGCTTGGGACGTTTTTTGTGGAAGGCTAGACCAGAAGCCTTTCTTCATGCAATCCTTCTGGTAGTATAACCATAGATCTCAGCCCTGATCAATGGAAGGCCAGAAGTCCCATCTTCATGTAGCCTAACCTGCTTAGAACTTGTTCTGGATGATTGGGTATGACTTTCATAGGATAACTGGTCAAACCTAATCAGAAGAATAATTTTTGATTTTGATCCTTAAGTGGTATTGAACTACAGACCTTGTGATTGCGATCTAGGAGCACTACCACTGTGCTATTGATCCACAGATCTTTCATACTGGAATTAATAAAGAAATAATTAGAGAATTAGATAAGAAAAAACAAGCAAATTTGGATAGACAATTAGAAAACTATAATAGAACTCAAATAAAGAGTATTAAAAAAAATCAATATCATTATTAGAGCTCTTACAAACAAGAAGATAACAGATAAGTAAGTCCTCTATATATCAAATAGAGTATTGATTCCAAGAATAGAGTTTAGAATGCAACATAGTATATTGTTTTGCAAAAAATGCAATAACTTAACAATAGCATATCACAAACTCTTCAAGAATAAAACTACTTTATATAGATTCATTCCTAATAGTATAATTTACTATCCAAAGATATATAATCTCAAAAGTATATAGACACTTCAAAATAAAAGCCAAATTACAGGACTCTGTAATAGAATAAATGATCAAGGTCCAGTAGGGCTTACTAAAATTATTAGATTGAAACAAGCACAAATTAAATATTAAAAGCCTAGCAATCTTTTCTCATATAAATCCTTGTACCATTTCAATAATAAAAGAAATTTTATATTACAGGTTCTAAAGCTAGCCAAGGACTTAAGAATAATGTTTCAGAGTTGAAAGTAGAATGATATCTTCAAATGGATCAAAGGCAACAATCCAATTCAGAAATATTTAACACTTGAAGAATATAAAAAGACAATATCATTCTTATGAAACAATAGATTAATATATATAAATTGACTAATAAGTCGAAACCCTATAGAGTTTAAAAATTGGAGAATGGTTCAACTTATACAAAGCACAAGCAAGGGTCCAATCCCAGAATGGTATAATATCCTGTAAAGAACTATATCTAAAGAAAGTATAGAAGACTTTATAAAACTCTGGAAAAAGAGATAGGAAGAAAAATGGATATCAAAATATATTAAGCCTAAACTTGATAGGGACAAAAGGAAAAAAACTTGAATAGTTACTCAGAAATAAAGTTAGCAACTAGTGATGAGAAAACTAATTTGAGAAAATAGTAAAGATATAGTTGTAATTCATCACTTTAATCAATAAAAAACAAAAGATAATCTAGAAACAGTTCTTACCAAATGCTCAAGATGCCTCCTAAATAATAGAAAGAGAAATAAATGCAATATAGAAATAGAATCAAATGTAATTTATATAATACTATTTCTAAACTATTAAAAAAATACTAGGAGAGCACAGTCACTGAATATTCATTATTCCCTAATTGAGCTTGATAGAATAACAACAAAAAGTATAGTTTCAAAAACCCAAGACTAAAGAAATAATCAAATTGAAAGAATAGAAAATATACTAATATGAGATTAAAAATAAGAAATAATTAGAGACAATGTTAAATAAAAAGTATATTCAGACTATCTACTTAAAATTCTTTAGTGTAATCAAGAATTACAGGAGAAGCTAACCTTCTACTCAGATAGATTCTTGATTGATTATAGGAATGAAAATATAAGAATGAGAGCAGCATGGATATAAATTGAAGGAGATGGAAAAGAAAGTAAATTCCAAATAGGAGTTAAAAACTGGTCCTCATTTACAAGAGCAGAATTAGTGATACTAGTTACAATAGTTTTAGTAGTCCCAATAATAATATGATAGAAATATTTACTAATGGTTAAGTCTGTATCTCTAAATAGAAAAAACTCAAAAAAGAAGATCCTAAAATGATATATAAATATAACTAAAAGAAAAGAACTGGTTATTATAGACAAAAATACTAGATCTTGTAAAAAAAAAAGCATATTCAATTGACTTTAATTAAAGTTAAAGCTCACTCTAATGATCTATGGAATGAAGAAGTAGACTGATTGGTCAAGAAGTATTAAAGCTCCCAATAATAGAGTGGAATAGTCTCAAAATGAGCAAGATACCTACAGTAATATTGTGGCAAAAAGATGTGATAGATAGTTCAATTCAATAGTTTATCAAACAAATCAATAAGAGATCAACTGCCTTGTTATAGACACTGCAACACAGAATAGAGACAAAATGGAATCACCAAGTTCAAGAATATCAAATCTATTCATAGGACCTGATATAGAATAGATTAAAGAATGGCAGTATATGGGATACCTCTTTAAAAGGTTTACAAAGAAGAAGTTTCCTGATTAAATTGACCAATAATAAACTATCTATCTTAAACAAACTAGTAATAAAAGGATCTGACTTATATAAGCAAGCAAACTATATAGCATGCAATTAGCAAAAAAATACAATCAAATATCTATTTGAATATTCTAATTATAAAAATGAGATACTAGTAGCATGGAAAAAAAGATTTGAAACATTTCTCAAAGAATTTAATAAGTTGTATCAAGATAAAGAAAGGGAAGTAGATAAAAAGGAATTACAACTATTAATTGACAATAGAAGAAAGAAATGTGAGATAGATAGATGGGTCTCCAAACTTATAGAAACAGTTACACAAATCAGTTAAAGCATATTCAACTTTTGTGCAGAGTTAATAGAAAATAATATGATCAAAAAAGCTGCTAATATAAATTGTTATAATAAGAAGATGGGAACAATAGCAAAAAAATAGATTTTAAGAGTACAAAAAAAGATTTGCAATCAAATTCAGAAACAAGTTTGAAATATAAGATGTGAAAAGAACATAAAATAGGAACAAATACAAAGAATTAATAGAAAAGCAAAATACAAGAAGGTCCAGGAAGTAAGAAGACAAGATGCTCAGCAAGAAGATTTTAATTATGAAATTTCAAGGCAAAGAGAAGATAAAAGAGAAAGTGAAAACAAAAACCTTGTAGAAATTATAAGAAATGGGATTAAGTATGGAACAAAATGATTGGGTTTTGATCCTTGTCAGAATCTCAAAAAGTAATCTGCAGGCAATGAAGTTGGAAGTTGGAAGTGTTTCTATCTGAACTGCTAATGGAACAATAAATTACTCCTGAAGTTGCACTTAGAGTTTTGAATAAAAACTTTAATAAGTAAGTTAGTTAGAGATTTAGCTTTAGCATCACATATATAATGTATAGCCTATAACTGTTGAATAAAGTACACATAATTGATCTGATAAAAGGTTAAAAAAAAAAAGATTAATATATATAGATTCAAGCTAGCTATATCAATATTACTATATATAATTATATATTAATTATTGATTTCTAAGTAGATATATTCTTTTATAAAAAAACTAAAGTAGACTTGTTTAGAATAAACTATAATAGGTTATTATTAATCTATATACGTATATATATACAAGATAATTAATGTCATTACTTAAGATTTAATTATTAATAAAGAGTTTGCATTTAATATTAGTTGTAATAAAATATATATATATATATATATATATATATATGATTTTTTTTACTTAATTATCAAAGTTTAAAATTTTATTTTACAAAAGTATTTGATAATTTATTACATTGGTCAAAATTATATTATTTAATAGCCAAATTATTAAAAATTTATTAAATTTATTAATAAAAATATTAATAAATCTTTTTTGATTATTATCACTTAATATATAAAATATTAGTAATATATACTGTAATAAAAGTTTTTATACTTTTTTGTTAATAAAGTCTTAATATTTTCTTTAAAACAACTTGAAGTATAACTTTAAGAGTCATTTTTATTCTTTTTCTTTTGTTTATAAACCTTTTTACTCAAAAAT